AATTTTTTCGCAATCATTCGGAGATCGTTTTATATCTATATTTTCTTACGTAGTCTTTTTTTTGATGAAAACAAAAAAATAATAATAACGCTAGATGCAAGGAAAAATTGGTACAATGTGCGTATGTGTATGTAAAGTTAATGAAATCCTTTATTTACATCGTTATGAAATCGCTGTTATGCTTCATTCATTTAAAAGCTAATTTAGAGAGTTATTAAACTCTTTGATTTCGTGAATCATCTAATTGTTTAAAATTGTTTGATCATACTTGCCTTGAAAGCCTTCGATACATTTACATTCAAAACCGTGATCACCGAGATCGATGCACGTGCTGTTATTGTTGCACGGCTTCGTTGCACAATGATCCACGATCAGTGTGCAATTGGGATCTCTGTAGCCTTCGCGGCATTTGCATTCGTAATTAGCGATACCATCAACGCAAATCTTGTCATCTGGACACATCACGTCTATACAATCATCGATATTCACGTCGCATACCTTGAATCATGTCGTAAATTTAATTAAATTTACTTTACATTTTCGCATTATCAAAATTTTTCAATAAAATATAATATAAAATATAAAATATGTATATCTATAATATGTATATCTATAAATATGTATATCTATAAAATATGTATATCTTATAAATCAAAATTACGATACCTTGCCCTCAAAGCCGTGTGGACATTCACAAACGAATTCTCTCTTTGATCTTGGCATCAGCATACAGGTACCATTGTTTTGACAAGGATTTATGACGCATGCATCATATTCCCGTTCGCAATTATCACCCATGAAATCTCTAGTGCAGTTGCAGATATATCCATTAACACGGTCGATACAGATACCACCATTCTGGCATGGTTGTGATAGACATTCGTCTATATCGATCTGGCAATTCTTTCCTGCAAAAACATTTATAATTTTTTTCTTAAGAAAATTCTAAGCGTGTTGAAAAACCGATATTACAAAAAATTAAAATTAAAAATAACTAAAAATATTTTTTCAAATTAAACAATAAATGAAAACACGGGCAATTAAGAGCCTAAATTCGCAGTAATTGGAGCGATTATATCAACATATATTTCTCAGTACTATTATAAATATATACATATATACATATATACTGAGAAATACATGTTGATATAATCGCTCCAATTACTGCGAATTTAGGCTCTTAATTGCCCGTGTTTTTATTTATTATTTAATTTTTATCTCAAGGGCTCAACTTTAATTATTCTTTGATATTTTTTGTATATTTACGATAAATTACAAATAGAAATTAAAGTTTTTGAAGAAATAAAAATGTATAAAAAAGACAATTATAATTAAAATAATTATAGAAACTATAAAAATGATTAATAAAGAAAGAGAATATTTTGTAAGTTGGTATAAAATAAATGATTTTCCATTTACGTAAAAATGTCAATATTAGGATAATTTTACAATGTCGGGGTAAGCAAATGTTATTAAAACTTAATCGTGATTAATTTTTACCTCTCCATTCAGGTAAGCAGGTGCAATTGAAACCATCTTTGCCGCTAGTACAAGTGCCACCGTTGGCGCAAGGATTGCTAGCGCAGTAGTTGACAGTGCAATTAGGCGGATTACCCATAAAACCGGGATTGCAGACACACTGAGGTCCATGAGCATCCTCCACGCAGATGCTGTTAGGCGGACAGGCTGCGTTCTCGCAGAGACCTCTCAGTTCGCAATGACGACCGGTGAATCCTGGGAGGCACTCACAGTGGTAAGTGCCCACGTCGTCGACGCACTTACCGCCATTAGCACAGGGTTCGGTCAAGCACTCGTTCAGATTAAGCTCGCAATTCTGACCCTCAAAGCCTGTCGGACAGTGGCAGATATAGGCACCATAATAATCATAACATATGCCGTTATTCAAGCATGGATTTGCCTCACATTCGTCGATGTCTACATCACAGTTGAGACCCTCATAGCTGAAGAGAAAAGAAATGAAATGTATTAGAAATAGAAGAATTTGTGCAGCATTATTTTCGTGAAAATTAATGGAATAAAATAGCAAGTTGAACAAATGTCAAGACATGATGTATATGTTACATATTACATATAAATTGCAATTTTGTTTAAAGTCTAATTTTAGCTATACTTAAAAAAGACTCACCCAGTTCTATCACATCTGCACGTATAATTATTGATTCCGTCGATGCAGATGCCACCGTTTTTGCACGGATTCGAAGCGCATTCATTGATATTAATTTCACACTTCTTTCCAGTCCAACCAGGCTGACACTGGCACTTGTACTCGCTGTCTGTTAGCGCCATGCAAATACCGTCGTTTCTACATGGATTCTGCTCGCATAATCGTACTCCCAATTGAGATTCGCAAAAGTTGCCAGTAAAACCGGGCTTACAGCTACAACTGAAGTCACCGCGTACATCTTCGCTACAGGTGCCACCGTTGCGGCAAGGTGTGTTCTGACAAGGTGAACCTGAGAAATAAATTCGCTTTCTTATCAAAGATATTTTTTTTTAGATACGAAGTCGGCGAAAGATAAAATGGAGCGATATTAATTGCAATAGCATGATTCATCGCATGCAGATGTAAAAGTCTCTTTTTAAATTATATTTCTCATTTTTTTATAATTATATCTACATAACAATAAATATAATTATAAATTGTAATTCCGTTATTATAAATTTAAAAATTATGAATAAATAATTATTGACAAAATTAAATGTAGACAGAAGAAAAAATAAAATATATTAGAAACATATATCAGTTGCCATATTTGGTTTGAGTGAAATGTAATTAATTATCGACATTTAGCCTTTTACAAATACGATAATATTCGCATGTTTGAGCAATTTTACGCAAAGCAACTTATTTTGCTTAACTTCGAAGCAATTTTTCTAGTAAATAATAATAATGTTCAAAGAAAAAAAAGGCAAAGCAACACGTATCTAAAATAATTGAGCGAGCATGATTTTGAAGCAAATGTTTGAATGTTAGGCAAAAAGCATTTCTATAAATTTCTATATATTGCTTCAAAGCAAAACAAATCTACATTTACGATGTACATCATGAACGAATTACATAGTGGGGAAAGACGATGCAGAGTTCATACCTTATTTATCGCAGCAATGTAATTAGATTCTAATCTCTTACGAGGAAAAATGTGTTATTAAATGTTTAAATATAGGAAAAATATATATACAAATTATTTCTTTAACTGAATTCTTCAATTTATAGACATATAATTATTTTGCGGTACGACAGTTATACAGAGTTCGAAAAACATAATTTTATTAAATTGTATTTAAAAAAAGAACCATCTTTATTCACACATATTGTAATACTTAATTCATGCTTCAACATTCCGTGAATATAAAGTTTTTCATTAATATCTTAATTTGATTTTGCATTATTTTCATGAAATGTTTTCGTGAAACTAGGAATAAATATATAGGCAGGACGATATCTTTTCGTCTCGACGTATAATTACATGACGTAACATTGCCGTTTAACGCGCGCGTCGGGTATGAATCCGCTCGCCCCACATACGCTGTAAACGCCGCATATTCAAGGTATCGACGAGGTCTACCATTGTCAATTTGGCAGTTGTTGCCGGAATATCGGGCGTAACAGTGGCACTCGTAGCGATCCTGTCGCGACACGCATTTACCATGCATCATGCATGGCTCATGGTGACAGAAATCCATAGTGGCCATTGTGGCGGAAGTGACCCCTGTGCCGAGGCCGCTCGTTCCACCTGAAAATTTTTTATTTTTCACAAAACTCGCATGCAATAGGTGCACTTTACTCAGAAGAAACACGTGCAACGGTACTTATTATTTAAAACGCTTTTCTTTTTCTCTTGCATTTCTTCTTCTTCTTCTTCTTTCCTGTTGTAATCTACTTTTGTATAAAAATAATGTAAAAGATTTATATAGAATAAATATCACGATAAATCATTCCCAAAGAAAAAGAAAAAAATTAGTTGTGCAAAATCTTTCCTGTTTCAATTCCGAGACGAAACTAAAGGTATACGCCGCATTTAATACTTATAAATAATTAATAATATTATGTATTGTAAAATATAAAAAATAAGATAAGTCAAATAAAAAAAGGTATTAGGCATGATAAAATAAAAAGAGTAATTAAAATTAAAATTATTTTAAAAAATTATATATTTTTTTAATTTATTCGCTTTTCTCTAGATTTTTCACATTGATATAGTGATATCTAATCTGCGGTTATCACTCGATAATTGCTTAATAGCTTGTCTAATTGTTATACCTAAGAACATTCTGTTTACAATGAGGTATTGATCTACTGTTGCAATATTATCGCTCGATGACTTAACTAATTGTAATTCTGGCTTAAGAGTGTTCTACTATTACTTACTAGTAGATATATAATAGCAACTACACTAACGATCTCCCATATATGATAATTCAACGCTTATCAGTGCAAGAATACTCTACGATAACTTAGAGAAAAATATTATTTTAGTAAAAAAAAGTTATGGATTTTCTTACATCCTTTGATATCCAACAGGCAGGGTCCAAAAACGGCTCCACTATTAATGCTGTTGTTGAAAAGAATCCCAGGCCCTTGCAAGATACAACCTCTGAATCCTTCGCCGACTATGAGCGAATTGTTCACATCATAGTCAGGAAGCGTTAGAATGGCGGAATTGTAAGTCGCATTCGCAACCATCTAAAAAAAAAAAACGTTTCTTATATATTTATATTCTATGTTTTTAAGATTGACTTAGCACATCTCGATCTTATTTCATAAATATTTAAAATTTATTAAGTTGATTATTTATATTAATAAATCTGAAGTAATCAATTTTTTCAATAACAATCTGTAATAGTGATTATCACGAATATAGATCTTTAATTCTTTGAATATTATAAATATATAACGTAGGAAACAAATATTTCAATGTCTTAATTAAAAAATTCTTAAAAAAAATCTCAAACTAATTATTGTCACACTGTATCTATTAAATTTATATTTAATAGCTACTACTCTTTATACATATAATCTGATTTTTCGTTTGTATCCAACAAAAATTTAATAAAATCTATTTTATTTTTTTTTTAAATGACTTGAAATAAATAAAATAGAATATTATTGTATTTTTGATATATTAGTATATACATATACATATAAATGTAAAAAATTTAATTCTATATTCTTTAATTATATATTAATATTTAATCAATATTTACCTGAGTGTGACCGGCGGCATTTAGGGTGAGATTGCCGAGTCTAAAAAACAAGTTAACGCTGTGCCAGACGTTGTTGAGTAGTCTGGCGTTTAGCCTGGCTCGATATCTCTGCTGATCAACGACAGCCACAAAGAGCAGTCCCTCGGGTGTCACTTCGAGACTGATCGAATTGTCATTGTACTTCTGTAGAAATAGTCGACCAGGTTCGCACGTGCGGAAGCTGAGACCACTGTGACGGTGCACCGATACGAAGGAACTCAATTTCAAGAACGCCGAACCGTTGAAATAAGCCTCGCGAGGATGCTCCTCGTAATTTTGATGTTTGGGATTCTGAGGCGCTTCGTGAGTAAGAGCCAACAAAGTGGCCAGAACTGTAATAGAGATAAAACTCTGTTAGAAAATTTGTTTTTGGTAATAATGTTCACTTAGCGTTACAGCATTCGCAGATTTCATAGCTTTTCTAGATCATTGATCATAATACAGTTCATCGATCCTGATGATGATGATCATCACGAAGAGATCCTTAATTCTTGGAATATTACAAATAAATATAATGTAAGAAAGAATATTTTTTAATCTTAATATTTTAATAAAAATACAATAGAAGTTTTTGAAAAAAAAAAGAATCCAAAAAAAAGAGAAGAGAGACTATTTTATTATTTCACTCTAATTTTTATTATCGGTCATAGCCGCAATATGTCACGAGATATAAGTGCTGACACATGCATTATCACGCGACAGTTTAAACTTTAGTTGCTTGTAGTTGCCGCAGACAATCGATGAATAAGCTTTTTAATGTTTTTATATAAGCTTTTGTTGTTTTAATTTTTAATATTAAAAATAAAATAAAATAAAGAATATTATTTCGATTGTTTTGGATATTTTAAAATATTTTTTACACAAATTGTTTTCATGTCATTTAAATTTGATTAAATAAAGTAAGTAATTTTTAGGTTCTTTTTTTATAGCTATATTAAATCCTAATTTCTAATATTTGTTTTTGGTCGATAAAACCATTCACTCAAGTCACTCTCCGAAACGAGCTCAGTAAGATTGCCCACAAGAAAAGAAAACGATTTATCACTGCAAACATACACGTCGTGTTACATAACGCCTATTTCTGCGTGCCATTATCTCCAAGGATGAACTATGATTTTGTCATGAGCGCTTACGCGTGAGAAAGGATTCGTTTGTGTTCAGTCACATGCATACGTGGAACCTTGGTCCCCAAGTTGTCGTTGATTCTTGATTGTGAATATCTAGGTTCTTGTAATCAATTTCATAGATCCTTGACACAAAAAAATCTTATATATTCTGCTATAGAATACTGTAGAATTGATACCAGAATTGATTCCAGAACAATCATATCTTTGATGTTATAAAAATTCTTTAAATACGAAGCGCCACTACGATCTGAATGTTAAGATGTTGAACTATTATATATATATATTCATTTAAATGAATTAATTTCAGAAATTATAATTGCCGATATGGTTGTCGGATTTTCAACGCAATCAATCTGAAATATTAATAATCCCCCAAATTTTCCAAATTTAATCTTAAAAAACTGTAATAAACTTATTGCGAAAAATATTTTGGCAGTCTAAAGGCTTAAGGATGCTCGCACGGAATGCAAGAGATCTACTCGACTCTCGGCCGAGGCAATATTTTTCCCAATATAAGTTTCCCAATAAGTTTATTACAGTTTTTTCAAATTAAATTTGGGAAATTTGGGGGGATTATTAATATTTCAGATTAATTGCTTAAAAGTCCGACAACTATATCGGCACGCAATTATAATTTCTGAAATTAATTTATTTAAATGAATATGTATAAAATAGTTCAACATCTTAACATTCAGACCGTAGTGACGCTTCGTATTTAAAGTATTTAACATAAACGGTCTTTTCAATCTTATTGTTTATAAAAATTCTAATAAAATTCACATCTTTGATAATACAGTTTTGCGGATCCTTTCGTGCAATTTCTGATTCAGAATTTATTAGATCTTAAAAGCATCCATCCTCGTAAATGTTGCCAACACTTGGATCTTCACTATCGGAGTTACATTTCTTTTTTATTCTCGTGAAAGAAGGTGCAAAGAGATTTTTTACCATACTGCGCGAGTATGTTCTCTTTTCTTCCAAGGAGGACAGCCAGTCATCTTGCAAGTACAACTTTACAACGCCACGTGCGAATAGAAGTCATGCATTATTTATCGGTCGGTTGCCATCAATCTTACTCACTGTAAGCATAGTGCACTCAGTCGCAGATTTTAAGATATACCATAAAACTCAAAATTGTAGAACATTGACAAATGAGGACTTATTACCATGAACTAAGAAATGAATATGAAGGTTACATTAAATAAGAGTTAAGGAAGCAAGAATTAGGATATTATTATAAATTCAATTTTCAAATTTAATCTATCTGATTTTAAATTTATAGGTTTAATTACAAAATCATAAATTTACGAATTCACGGAAAAGAAAGTGTTCCTTTATAAAGTTGATGAGAAAAAGTAAAAAAAAAAATTTCGCGCGAATTTTTCCGCGATTAATTTTCCGGGACAGGCACGTGACACATCCGAGAAACTCACGTACATTGCGTGTCGCGCATACGAAATGTGTAAAACATGTAAACATAAACGGAGATCTATAATTGGAATTGCTTCAATGACGGAGTTACCGGAAGTCGATCTTCCTGGGACAAATGATGACGCGTCCGCTGTGTGGGGATTGCGGATAATTAGATCCGAGAAATTGTTAGATTGATTCGCAATTTCTATTAGAAATCTATCCGTTTACAAGAAATAAAATTCATCAAGATATAGAATCAAGAAATTATGATATCATAAGTCTATGATTTCGTATAGATTCAAGATCCATCTCAAATACCTTTGTATGACTCTATTTTACATTTTATAAATTGAAAAATTGTAATTCTTAATTATTC